AGAGACAGATGCTTTCTGGGTACTTGCCCCTCGCCCTCCCCCTCTTCCCTTCTCTAATTCTCCCTCCCTCCCTCCCTCCCTCCCTCCCTCCCTCCCTCCCTCGCTCTCTCCCTCCCTCCCTCCCTCGCTCTCTCCCTCCCTCCCTCCCTCCCTCCCTCCCTCCCTCCCTCCCTCCCTCCTGTGAGTTCATCTCATTTCAAATCACATTAGCATTAGAGATTGCTCTGGAAGACTTCTTATGGCGTTTCTGAAAGTCAGCAATGCTCTTGTTTTGGCTGGATAGTCATTGACCTCCTTTCTTAGAGCAGATAAACATTTTGAAATTTGAAAAGTTGTATTTCAACTTAAAATATCTGAATTTGTTATATCGAAAGAATTTTTATTACATAGTGAAAAAAGAATATAGTTAATAAAAATTTCTTAGGGCTTAACTAACTGAATACTGGTTTTGTTATATATAAAATTAGGATCTCTAAAGAGGTTTTGAGGATTAAGTTTCAAAAATTTTTTAAAATTTTCTTTATTTTTATTTTATGTATATTGGTGTTGGGTCCCCTGGAACTGGAATTACAGACAGTTGTGAGCTGCCATGTGGGTTCTGGGAACTGAACCTGGGTCCTCTGGAAGAGCAGTCAGTGCTCTTAACCACTGAGCCCTCTCTGCAGCCCCAGATTCATAAGGCCTCGGTAGCGGCAGAGGCAGCAGTTGTCGTTTCGGAGTTTGGGATGGCTTGTACAGTGTCTGCTCTCCGGGGACTGCGAGGCTCGCTGACGCCGTGGTCTTTGCCCCATTTTGTGCCTTCAGTGGCAGTGTATGCTTTACCCAGAATTCTGTGTCTGAGTCCTCGTCCTGGGGCTGTGTTTATATTCTCCATGATGCCTGCTGTGACGCTGGCACATGTTTCCAGAGAAGGCCATGATTAGAGTTCTTTCCTCTGTTTCGTGGCTTTGTAGCTGTGGTGCTCCATGGAATGGAATCTTCTTCACAGTTCAGACTGAGCTGGGTCCCGACTGTAATACCATTTAGGATTCTGTGTGGCGGTGCTGTGGGCTTACAGTGCAGGCCGAGGAGCTGCTCCCTGCCTTGCTGGGGAGAAAACAGACCACGTGGTAATTCCAGGCGACGACGCTGTGGTTCATGTGAGAACTAGGGCAGGAGGGCAGCCTCAGGATGGGCAGCTGCCAGTCAGCCAGTCCACTGCCAGCCTGCCTGTGGGCTGTGTGGCAGGACCTTCATTTCCCAACCAAGAAGCCGTAGGAAAGTTCTCCAGAGGGAAAACCTGGCTGACGTACACTCCAAATGCACCAGAGCATAGTCTACTGTCCTCACAGGCTGGGATAGTCAGTGTTAGAGCACAGGGTTTTGTTTTGTTTTCTTTGCTTTTTATTTATTTATTCTTCCCTGAAGTAGGGTCTCAGTCATGAGACCTCAGCTATGGCTGACTTGGAACTCACTATGTAGGTCAGATTCATAGAGATCCACCTGCCTCTGCCTCCTGAGTGCTGGGATTAAAGGTGTGTACCACTATACCTAGCACTTTTTTTGTCCGTTTGCTTCCATTTATGCACCTATTAATTAATTAATTAATTAATTTATTTATTTAATATTTTTTCGAGACGGGTTTTTCTGTGTAGCCCTGGCTGTCCTGGAACTAGCTCTGTAGGCCAGACTGGCCTCAAACTCACAGAGATCTGGCTGCATCTGCCTCCCAAGTACTGACTGGGATTAAAGGTGTGCACCACTACCACCTTGCTAACCCAGAACTTTTTTTTTTTTTTTTTTTTTTAAAGACAGGGTCTCCCCGTATACTCTTGGCTGGCCTGGAACTCTATGTAGACCACGGTGGCCTTGAACTCATAGCCTTGCCTCCTGAGTGCTTGTTGAAGGTGTACGTGGCTTTTACTTCAAGAAGCAAATTCAAGGGGCAAGACAGAGGATGGCAGGCACATAGTCGGGGTTTGACCTTCTCAGCCTTTTGGCATAGCTCAGGTTAGGAGGAGGCTTCCCTGTCCCTGCCCTTCTGACGTGCTCTCTCCTTCTCTGCTGCTCTCAACCCAGGGTGTGAGTGTGATTGGTTTGTTGGCCTTGGTGGACCTTTAGGACATTCTGGGACAGGTGTGACGATGAAACACTGTTCTCCTTTAGGAGGTGAAGCTGTTTCTTGTGTCGCCCTGTACTTGGGAAATCCGTGACGTCTCCTCCTGCTCGCTCTCGGGGTGTGGTGTTCACACCGTCCCAGCTTCACGGCTATTCTCTGCTGAAGCTTAGTTTGCCAAGGTCGCTGGTTTCCTCGCCCCCCAGCAGCTTCTCCTGCCTGGTTTGGCTGTTCCCTTTAATGCACTGACCTGAGCTGACCCTGTTCAATGTTCAACCTGCAAGGAAAAATGCTGGATTTGAATAAGATTGAAACATGAAACTGAGAAAACCTTTATTGAATTTTCTCATATTACACAAGAAGATTGAGAATTAATAGTTTACCAAAGCTGTGTAGTATACCAGCACAATATGCATACTTACATCTTCTAGATAGCAGGTGTGCATTTTATACTTTGATTTATTTCTCACTAAAGTACATTACCTTCTTGTATAAACTTCACATTGTTCATAATTAACTTTTCAAAATAACATGTCCTCATAAACACCCCCCACTCACACACACATCTGGGTTAGATTTGGTTGTTTGAGACAGGAGATTTCTAATTTCTAAGAACATACTGTCTACTTTAAAGTAAGTTAATTATTTTTATGAAATCGTTACAGGGTACCAGCTTGCTTTCAGGTGCTTTTGTGTTTCTCATAAAGGTAGAGGAAGGTTTGTTGGTTGTGGGTTTCCTTATGCCAGTGAGGAAAACTGTCAAATGCTACCCTTGCTTTGCCAGACTGCTAACCTTGCTCTCTTATTGTCAGGGTGACAGTCCCCAGGTGTCATGCGTCTTCACCGTCATCCTTTGACCTCTGCAAACGGAAGTCCTCATCTTTGCAGGAGTTTATCTTGGGTAGTCAAGAGTGGCATTACCTGGCGCTTGTGGCCTGCAGGCTCTTAATATCCATATATCTTAATTATTCATACCTAATATACTCTAATACTTTAATATTTATCATGACTATAAATCAGCTGTGACGCTGGCTCCTCCCTGTCTTTGTTCTGGACTTTAGTCTTCGGTGGACCGTCCTACATTGGATCATCCATGTTTTCACAAAGTAGCACGAGTTGACACAGCTCCTGTGGATGCAAAGAGTCTCAGGAAAGCTGGGTCCAGGTGGAGAAGTGTCCAGTCATCACCACTTAATGTGTGACCCAGGCCAGACTCAGGCCCAAAGCTTTGCAGTTCCGTGGTGCTCTAGGAAGTCTGGTTTCTGTAGTCCTTACATAGTGGAGTCATCCTTTCGTGGGATCTTTTTTATAAAACATTTCTATTCTTAACGAAACTTGAGTTTTAGGTGGCCACCAGCCTTGCTCGGTTCTTAGACACCACGGGTGTTACTCTAACCGCTAGGACTGTTCCCAGTGTCCTTTCAAAGAGCCGGGTTGACCTTTAGGGTCAAGGGCTCCTGCTAAGGGGCTGCTCCTCGTTGGCAGCCTTTGGCCTTTCTTCCTGCGCCCTCTGGGCACCCCCCCCCCCCCCCCGCAGCTCCAGGGTCTCTCATGCTATTTTCTGCCTCCCACTCTTGGTGCTTTCTCTCCTGTGCTGGTCAGTTTTGACTCGGAACTCAAATTCCTTAGCGTTTTGTTTGTTTGACCTTTGGGGGTGAATTGAATCCACCTTCTACAAGCGTGTTGGTGATTTTACTGTTTGTGGGGAACACTGTTCGTCGAGAGCATCAGTGAGCTTCATGCCCTGTGTGGGTTTGCTGCTGCTGTTAAAAGTGCGCAGACCCATGGATGAGAGCCGCAGGTTTTCTTGAGGGATAGCTGTGGCTATGAATCGTTGGAAGGGATTTGTTTCCTCTTCCTGTTCTCCCAACAGCAAGACAAGTCAGGCACATTTCCTCTTCCTGTAGAGCTGGAATATATTGTGGCCAACAGCAGATTGAAAAGAAAGAGAGGAGGAAACAGGATCAGGGCTGGAGAGCCTGCCCAGCAGTTCAGGGCGCACACTGTTCTTGCAGGGGACCTGAGCCACTTCAGCATGCCGGACAGCTCACACAGCCCCTGGAACTCCAGCTCACTCACCTGCATAAAATCCACACTCAACACACACACATAATTAAAAATAGAAAAAATAAATTATTTTAAAAAATAATAAATATGATCAGATAAGTCCCAGCTCTCAGGAGGTTGGGCATCGAGCTGGCCTGTGTTCTCTGGAAGAAGAAAATGAAAGAGTAGAGATAACAGCAGAGAGTCGGGGAGAAGGCGGTGGGTAGGGCAAGAACAGAGCAAGAGCAGGGCAGTGGCCTCCGAAGTTGACGTAGGGTGTTGAGCAAAGGAGGAAAGATGTGAATGGGACGGAGCGAGTGCGCCATTCTTTTTAGTGTTTCTGAGCCCGGAAGTCTGTCTCCCTGGTGGAGTTCCTTTGCCTGCAGGGTCACTGATGCTGCTCACCGTTAGGGCATCTGGTCGTTCCATCTGGGTCTTCCTCTAGGACAGTGGGTTATGTAGATCCAGGTCCAGTCCTGGGCAGCAGTTCACAGATGATCCTCCCGTCCTTTCAGTCCCTTTGCGCATGCTGGGCATGCTGGCTGGCCCTGCGCAGTGAGAGCCCGCCTTCACAGAGTCTCAGCTCCATGGTGAGCTGAAGGTCTGTACTGTTGGAAGTCAGAGTTTTCTCTGACTGCTTAGGAAGAAGGATGTGCTAGGGACATGCTTCCTGACCAGTTTCTGTAAACTAGTATTTAGTTATGTGATTATAGCTGTTCATCTTCAAATACCATGTTTTTAAAAATTGATGTTGGTTTGCTGTGATATGAGTATGACCTTTTAAAGGATGTCTCTGCCTGTATGATTGGACATTATAGAAATACTGTAAATCCTGAGATTTGTGGTTTTCATTTTACAGGGCGCCAATGCCTCGGCATTAGAGAAAGAGATTGGTCCAGAACAATTTCCGGTCAACGAGCACTATTTTGGATTAGTCAATGTAAGTATCAAAGATACCCAGCCTTAGAGGGTCACGTGAAGCTTGGGACACTAGATGAGTGCTCTTCATCATTCATTAAAGAAAAACCATTCGTTTGTGGCATTAAAATCCATGCTGGGACATTGTATTTAGGGTTTTAAAATGTTCTGTAGTTGAAAGAAGGTAAACTTGCCTGAGGTCTTAAGACTCTCAGGATAGTTTCTAAATTGTCAGCTTCATTTTTCCTATTCTGGAAAAAATTTTCTTACAGCAAAAGTTTTGACTTATAACTAGACGAATGATCGCTTGATCCTGTGAGAGTTGTAGCGCGCATGGCAGGCCTCAGTACAGCCACGAAAGTGCCTCCCACATCCATCCTTCAAGCCTGGCGAGAACTTTGAAGTTGAACTCAGCAAAGGAAAAAAACCATTATATTGTTTTCCTAGTTCTAACTCTGCTGTGGGTATTTCAGTCATGGTGGTGGATAAGTGCATAAAAATAGACTTGATAGTGAAAGCGTAAAATCTAGTGGGAAGCCCGGCAGCCGGCCTGGAATGACGGGCTGCTCTGACCGGAGAAGTCCATGGAGTGTGTCGTCGTCGTCTTCTTCAGGTCCGGTTAATTTCCAGGTGTGACTTTCTTTTCTTTTCTTTTTATTTTTTTTTTTATTTATTTTTTTTTCGTTTTTCGAGACAGGGTTTCTCTGTGTAGCTTTGCGCCTTTCCTGGAACTCGCTTGGTAACCCAGGCTGGCCTCGAACTCACAGAGATCCGCCTGGCTCTGCCTCCCAAGTGCTGGGATTAAAGGCGTGCGCCACCACCGCCCGGCTCTTTTCTTTTCTTTTTAAAGGCTATCTAAAATCATGGGCTGGCGTAATTTCAAACAAGGTTTATGCTTCTCTTGAAGCTCCTTAGCAGTCAGGTCAGGATAAACAGGAGGATAAGCTAAGAAGAAACTGTTGAATTAATCGGATGGATGGAAATACAGCTTGTGATGTTCATGTCTCATTGCTACAAACCGTGCCACTCGTGAGGGGCTTCGGGATCCAAGGGTTACGTGGCCATGAGGCGTGGCCTCTACTCTGCTGTGAGGCAGTGTTCGCAGGAGACGTGGTCCTCCCCGTGATTTACACTCTCACACTCTTCTGTCGCTTTAACCGCTTCTGTCCAGCTTATTTTTCAGCTCCCTCTGCTTCTCTCTTGTTAGATTGCCACTTTATTTTTATCATCACACTACTTACTCATAGATGTCCCTTAAATATCAAGATTGGCTCAACTCTCTTGAGACGTACACCCACACTTGGGGTATACAACTGTCCTTTCCTAAAGCATGAATTTCTGTCTCTTAATGTATGTGATTAAGCCTGTATTAAAACTTCAGCTTTGCTTAGAAACAGCAAAACAAACCAGTGTTGACCTTAGGGGTGGTGATGTGGAGAATGGCGTGGATAACTCAGAGGTCAGTTTTTTAAGTCATTTTTCCTGTCCCTGCAACCTATGTGTCAAGTAGGTAGCACTGTAAACAGTACTGCATCCTTGGCGCTGTTCTAGAAACTCTGGATGGGGTGGGATGTAGCTGGATGTAGAGCATTGTACGGTGTGCCCAAGACTGGATTCTGTGCTCCCTGACTCTGAGGGGGCTGAGGGAGGGGAGAAGACACTGAGTTTTGTTTACAAGAGAGAGGGGCATCTGTGTTTTTTCCATCAGCCTGTAAGCCGCTGCGTTTCTAGGCATCATTGCTTTTTGAAAAGTATGTACTGGAGGAATTGCTACCAGACCTGCCTTCTGGGGGTCCCTTTTGGGCTATGGACAGTGGGGTCACCAGTGAGCACTTGCCTGTGGGAGTCAGGCACTTTGTTGTTTGCAAAACAATGAAATAACCACAGTTTAATTAGCCTAGCGTTGTTAGTGATCACCTCGTTAATCTGTTGTTAGTTACAGGTTTGTTTTTTAAATCTGTTTTAAAATTTTTACTAGCTAAATTCTTGGAGATCATTGTTTTGAGCTCTGATTGAGCAGTTGTGTAGGTGCATCTGTGGTGTTGACGGTGAGGAACTTGCAGGATCAGCAAGCTTCTCTGAGTGTCTTCATGGTGAAGAGTCCGCTGAGTAGAGCTGACTGAGTGCTGCTGCTCACTGCAGTGTCGGAGCCCTCCACATTGTATGCGGGCCATGCACTTCTCACGTCACTCTTCCTGCACACGGTAGATTGGGCTCAGTGACTCCTTTGTGAGGTTCTGTGGATCATTATTAGCAGAATTACCATTGCTGGGCTCGGAGGTTAAGATCACTGGCTGCTCTTGCAGAGGAGCTGGCTTTGGTTCCCAGCACCCACATGGTGGCTCACAACATCTCTAACTCCAGTCCCAGGAGATCATACTCCCTCTTCTGGCTTTCCTGGGTACTGCATGGATGTGATGCACAGATAGGTGCAGGCAAAGCATCCATGCACATAAAACAAATAAAATCCCAAAAAGTTCTTAAAAATTATGATTTCCTTCTAGACTTTTTTTTGGCAGGCTGTTTAAACTGAATTGTTTGGAGCAATGCCTGGCATGGAGAAGAGAGAATAAAATGGTTTCTTTCTCTTTGTGGGTTATGGACTTAATTAGGTGACGGTGTCCTGTCTGTTTTCTTGTGCATTGAGTTCATTCTTGTCCTGCCTGTCTCCACCTGGCAGCCACAGCCTGCTTGAAGGCTATACTTAGAGATGCCAGACAGTTTCTGGTCAAAGAACTATGGCCCAGGGATCCTAGCTAGATTGGCAAGTTGTCCTGTCTGCCCACAGATGTGATGAGACAGGTGTGGTCAGCCACTGGATAGTACGTGGAGAAAGGGAGTTGGCTCTCACGAGGAAGCACAGGGCAGTAGAGTCAGAGTGGGAGTGAGCAGCTGGTGTCTGCAAGATTCAGTAACAGCCTCTGGACCACTTGGGTGAATTGAGAGGTTGGGGTCGCTTAAGCCGGGGCTGGCTCGTAGAAGGTCATTTTCCTAGTGGCCAGGGAGATGGCTGAACAGGTAAGAATGCTAGCTTGCCATACATGCACAGGCCGCATACACACAAACAGTAATAGGAGTTTTAAAAAGTATTTCAGGGGCTAGAGAGTTTGGCTCCTGGCACCCCATGTCACTTGGCTCTCAGCCACCTGTAACTTCAGTTCCAGGGGATCTGACTCCCTGTTCTAAGCCTTGGTGAGCATCAACATATACATAATAGATATCACACAGACACATAAGTAAAAATAAAAGTTAAAAGAAGTTTTTTAAGCCAGTAGTGGTGGCACACATCTTCAATCCCAGCGCTCTGGAGGCAGAGGCAGAGGCAGATGTGAGTTTGACACCAGCCTGGTCTACATAGTGAGTCTAGGACAGCCAGAGCTGCACAGTGAGACCCTGTCTCGATACCACCCCCCAAAAAGAGGGGGGCTGTTAATTATTATAAAGATTGACTCTTAACCGATTGTTGAGAATGAATTCTGACTCTGAGTTTTCCTTAATGGAATTGATTAAAGTTAAGTAAAAGAAAACTATCCAGTGTAGGGCTTAGGATTGGGGGTATGCTGCTGCAGCATGTTCAGAGGATGGACAGGCTGTGTTGACACAAGTGGGAGCCAGTGCTGCGTGGTTTTATGTCCCCTTGACACAAGCTAAAGCCATCTGAGAGGAGGGTGCCTCTGTTAAGGAGTTGTTGTAAGATAGGTCTGTAGGACATTTTCTTAATAAGTGATTGGTGGGGGAGGGCCCAGCCCATTGTAGGTGGTACACCCCTGGGCTGGTGGTCCTGGGTTCTATAAGAAAGCAGGCTGAGCAAGCCATGAGGAGCAAACTAGTAAGCAGCACCCCTCCATGGCCTCTGCATCAGCTCCTGCCTCCAGGTTCCTGCCCTGTTTGGGTTTCTGCTCCAACTTCTTCAGTGGTGGACTATGATGTGGAAACATAAGTCAAATAAACCCTTTTCTCCCCCGGTTGCTTTTGGTCATAGTGTTTGATTACAACAGCAGTAACCCCGACTAAGAGCCTACCTTCCAGTCTTCTTTATACATGTACATGGTACAGATGCCTTCTGGTTTCTCAGCCTGTGCCGTTTGCGGCTTGTAGTTTTACAGTGAGTCCTCTGTCTTAACTTCTCTGATGTAACTATGAGGTGATGTGTTTTGCTTTTCTCTTATTTCTGTGGAAATTGTTAAATTCCTCTGTTACATATCCTTAATAAGGATGCCCAAATGCTGGGTGTTGTACAAATTGTGATTCTGTGTTTTTTCAGTTGACAGCACCAAAGTGTGCTGACTGTTAGATTTCTACAGTTGTGTATAGATTCTACTTTCCAGATGAAATGATGCTGGGTGATTAGTAATGAGTCGTGGTGATGTGTGTTCTGCAGGTGCACTTTCTCCAGAGATAGGCAGACTGTTGAGTGAGCACTAGGATCAGTGAGCCACAGCCTAGACTTGAGTAGCCGTCCTGGGAAGTCTTCATTTCACAGCGGCTCTCTGAAGCCAGTGCTTGGCTCCGCCTGCCTCGCAGGCGTGAAGACAGGAGTCACCTTCTCAAAGGCCTTTGTATCTTTTTTCCTCAGATTTCTTCAGAAAAGATTGTAATTGTGCAGTGCATTTTAGTGGGTCTTTGGGAGAAGAGCATGCAAACAGGTTTGCCATGGCCAGGCTCTACACTTTCTTCCTCCACACACATCTGTATGTGCTTTCAGTTTGACACGGGTTGATCCCGTTTCCCTCAGAGAAGGAGAGGGAGGTAGTTATCAGACCACGTCTTCTCTCTGTAAGGTAGTGCCGTCCGGTGCTCTTTGAAGGAGGAAATGTGACATGCAGCGACGCATTCCCATAACCAGCAAGAGGTGGCCCATTGCTGAGGACTGACTGCGGCCTTCTCTGGTGGGCTCTCAGCCTTGGTGGTTGTTAGACCGGCCCTTCCACAACCACATCCCAGCCAGCCTGGTTTTTAGGTTTGTTCGCATTTGTGCTTGGTGTGTGGCACCTGGGAGACCTGGATAGAAAACCTGACTTTAGTATGCTTCTTGGGAGAGTTTTGGAGAACTTTTTCTGTTGTTGTTGGGTTTGAGACAGAGTTTCTCTGTGTAACAGCCCTGGTTGTCCTGGAACTTGCTCTGTAGACCAGGCTGGCCTTGAACTCACAGAGATCCATCTCCTTCTGTCTCCAGAATGCTGGGATTGACTGTGCACCACCACACCCAGCTTGTGAATTATATTTTAAAAGCGTGATATATAGAATACCTAGTATACAGCCATTGTTAATAATCATGGAAATTTAGAACAAAAGCTTGTGTGGTCCTTGACTTTACCCGGGCTCTTTCTCCACAGCTGCACTCTGCGTTTAACGGCGCCCCTCTTTCCTCTTGTAGTTTGGGAATACCTGCTACTGCAACTCAGTTCTTCAAGCACTTTATTTCTGTCGTCCATTTCGGGAAAAAGTTCTAGCATACAAGAGCCAGCCCAGAAAAAAGGAGAACCTTCTCACGTGCCTGGCCGACCTCTTCCACAGCATAGCCACCCAGAAGAAGAAGGTGGGCGTGATCCCGCCCAAGAAGTTCATCACACGATTGCGAAAAGAAAATGGTAATTCTTCCGTTTCCCATGTACTGTTGTTGCTCGTGTGTCCTGGGAAGGTAAAGGACAGCGTGCTGCTGTAACTCAGGTGTCTTTGAACATGCTCTCTTGGTGCCTCACACTTGTTAGCTATTTTATTAGTGACTCTTCTGTTGTGATAGAATGCTGGGACAGAAGCAAGCTAGGGGAGAAAGGGCTTGTTAGGATTTACAGTTGCAGAGGGAGTGTAGTCCGTACTGTCGAGAAAGCAGGAGCAGGAGGGGCTGCCTAGCGGAGAGATCGTAATTCCACCCTACACAGAAAGCGGAGAGAGAAAGCAGGAAGCGGGCGGGCCAGGTTGTAAAAGGTCACGTCTTCCCCAGTTTCTGCTTCCTGACAGTTCTGTAACCCTCCGACAGCATCAGCACTGGGAGCCACGTATCCAAAACACATGAGTCTGTGGGGAAGCCGAGATGTAGGCTCCTGTCTTCAGGGGGGTGTAGCTGAGTAGAGGAGCCAGCTCCAGTGAGGGGTGATCCCTGTTGGAAGTGTGTTACTCAGGTCACATCCCATGTGCCAGGGAGTGAGAAACCCTTCTCTTTTTGGTCCTCTTGCCTCGCTTCTATCAAGAATGAATTTTTTTTGCCTTGGGTACCAAGAGACATGGAGTAGTTAGTTTGTGGCCAGCCCGGACAACATGAGATCGTACCCCCACCTCCACCCCCGTCAACCCCCCACCCCACAAACAAAGCAAAACAAAACACAAATTTTCCATGGAATGTGATTCTTTGGTTACACATAGCTTTCCTGGGCTAATTCATTTATCTTTTAAAAACATCTTTGTTGTTACTTGTTTCTGTTCTCTTTGGGGGGCCCGCCACCCAGCTCCCAAATAAATCAATTTCTCTCTCTCTTTCTCTCTGTCTCTCTCTCTGTCTCTGTCTCTCTGTCTCACACACACACACACACACACACACACACACACACACACACACACACACACACACACACTTCTGGAGGCTTATGAATGCACGGCCTTAGCTTGGCTTGTTTCTTGCCAGCTTTCCTTAACTTAAATTATTCCAGCTACCTTTTGCCTCAGGGCTTTTCCCATCTCTTACTCTGTGGCTCGCTGTGTAGCGGTGTGGCTGGCCCCTGGAGTCCTCCTCCTCCTCCTCTGGCTACTTCTTTTCTCTTTGCAGATTTCTCCTATATAGTCTCTCGGCCTGCCAGCCCCACTTATCCTTTCTCCTGCCTTGCTATTGGCCATTCAGTTCTTTGTTAGACCATCAGGTGTTTTAGACAGACAAAGCAACACAGCTTCACAAAGTTAAACAAAAGCAACATAAACAAAAGTAACACACCTTAAAATAATATTCTACAACATATCTTAGGCAGAAAGGACATTGCTTTTTGGGGAAAGATTCTGTTTGTATAACCCACACTGTTTATTAAATAATAATGATTCTATCATTTCTTTCACTTTGGCCACAAAACAAAAATCACAGAAGTTGAGGCCATTCAGGTTTAGGATTGGTAAATGTTAATTTATTCTCGTTTCTAAAAACTACTGAGAGGCCCCACCTTTTTCTTAATTGAGATACTTTTCATTTCATTTTATAAGACATTGCTGTGAGACGTGCTGCAGTTTGACCCAGGTTACAGAGTTCCTGGGGCGCAGAGCTGGTGTCTGGCTTCCTTGGTCCGTAAGCCAGCTCTGTCTCATGATGTGCTGCTGCCTCAGGAGCACAGTGAGAGGGAGGGAAGGCCTGTGGGATCCAGTCGTCTTCTGTTCGATGTGAATTTTCGCTCCATGTAGAAATAATTGAATTGTTGTTCAGTTTGATCAACTACTAAAGTGATACTTGCAGAAGTGTGATTGAAGAGATCTGTGAGATTGGTTGTTGACTGTCTAATGTGTGATTGGACCTTTAAGGTAGCCAGTTACATTTTCATTGAATGAACTGAAATCAGCCTAGTAAGAGCTATCCCTGTCATAAAGAGACTTTCCTGCTGAATGGCACAGCTAGAGCCTGTTCTTGAAGCTGAGAGGCAGTCTGAAGAAATGTTCATTTTCCTCACAGATACAGAACATTTGAGTCCTGCATGCAGACCACATTTTTCCTCTCATGAGAGCTGTTTGTTTACTTGTTTAGATTCCAGATGTGCATGGAGTTTTCTATTTTTAAGAAACTCAAACCAGGCAGTGGTGGTGCACACCTTTAATCCCAGCACTTGGGAGGCAGAGACAGGTGGATCTCTGTGAGTTCAAGGCCAGCCTGGTCTACAGATCGAATTCTAGGGACAGCCAGAGCTACACAGAAATCCTGTCCCAAAAAAACAAAACAAAACAAAAAAAAAAAAAAGAAATTCAAATCAGCCTTTTGGAATGTGGATTAAGCTAATGGGATTTGAGTCTTTTTGTCTATATTGATGGTCACCTTTGGAAGTGTATCTGAGGGGAAGCTTTTGTGTATGGTGATGAACTATCTTTTCTTGATGACTATTTTAGAGATGCATACCATGCTTCTGTGTTTACACAGAGCCCATGTTATTTTCCATGTATGGAATAGTATGCTTTTCAAATTGATTGCCTGTGCTTTTAAATGCATGGTGACTTGTTTTTCTTAAATGTTAATTGACTCATGCTGGATACAGGTCAAGCTCAGCATACACACACACACACACACACACACACACACACACACACACACACACACACTTACTTTTCTTTCTGCAGTCCTGAAGTTAGTGTTTCCAGCATCCTATGCAATTATATACTTGAAGACTTTTTTTTAAAAAAATGTTTATTTGCCAAAACCTGAGACATTTTTATAGTGGTTTATTTTTAAATACTTGAAAATTTTCTAGAGTTTTTTGTATTTAGGCAGAGTAAATTGATAGAGCAAGAGACCCACTAAATGCTTGTTTCAATGAGATGGATACAGAATAAATATTTACTATAAATGCGGCTTCTTTTAAGTTTCTTTTCTTTTTTTCTGAACTTCAGAAATAAATTATTAGAAGAGAGTTCTTCCTACATGATATTGGTGGGATCTGTAAATATGTTTTGGAATGCATTAATATTTACCTCAGGCTTTTGGATTTTCCTTGAGAATTGCATGTGGGAGGACACAGATCAGAGCAGGTTGCTGCATTATCTATATTGCATGTTTCCTCCTGATGGTTTGTTTAAATCTTTGGAAAACATGTCGCTCGTGTCAGTCTTGCTGGCAGTCCACTGTTGGGCTGCCCTGCCTGCCTGAGCTCCTCATTCTGTGTGAGAAGCTTCCCGGAGGTTTAGTACATGGTCATCCAGATTGTCTTCACACCTGCTGCTTTACATTGCTAATTGTTTTGGTATTTGGGGAAGGAACAGACTTTAACTTCTACTCATTAGTGAGTCTGTTTCTTTACAATTTAGCTCCTGATACTTACTCTAGCATAAGGGCTCCCCGAATGTAGTGTGACCGCTCCAGCTCCACTGCCCCACTCTCTGTGGTGACAGGTTGGACACTGGGTAATTGTTGGCATTGGTTATTGCATACTGATTGCCTGTTGTTCACTAGCTCTGTGGAGGCCCTGGGAATCTAGAAATTAGCCCTCAGGGGCCTGACCTCCACAGGGAGGACAGGTGCCAACGACTGTCTGTGCAGTATGGCTTTGCTACGAGGAGAAAGGAAGCAGAGACGGCTCGGAAGCCCGAGTGGCCTTGTCGGTCCAGGTGTAGGTGTTGGAAAGACCCCTGTCAAGGGCTGTTAGAGACCTGGCGTGTTGACGCCTCAGGTTAATGGGATAGAAGCAGAAGAAAAAAAGGACAGGTGCATGGGAAGATGGCCAGAAAGTTCACTTGGCAAGAGTGTGGTACCATGGAGACCACCGGATACAGGACAGGGTCCAGAGCTTGGGAAGCTGCCAGAGACTATGATTTTCATTAGGGAAGAATCCCTATGGGTGGGCATGGGCTGCCGTGGGCAGCATTTGAAAGGTGGGGTGAGGGTTTCGGTGGCGGGGAGCTGTCAGAGGCTGCTGCAGTCCTTGAGGAAGGTGAGCTCATCTGGCTGATGCTACTTCCTTTAGGCTCTGAAGGAAATGCAGCATAGGTCAGTAGTGATGGGACTGTGTTAGCTAGTGCTTACTGTCAGCTGAACAATTCGTGGGCATTAAGGTGGGCTCGCGGCCTTATCAGTAGCTTCATGTTCTGGCTCCACGAACCTTAGCAATATATGCTGCATATAACATTTGTATATGGGTGTGTGTGTGTTTGTATAATATATTTCGCGTTATGAGCTGTACCTCATTTTCACACATCATAGCTGATTGAACACCTCTCTTTTGTTCATTGTGAACATCATTTATTCAAAAAATGTTAAGCGCCTCCAGATGCTGCAGCCCGGTGTGCTAGCAGTGCAGCTGTGGCTGAGCTGTGGTCTTGGTTCTTAAGAAATCTGCATGTGAAGAGCACTTTCTCAGGTGCTGTGCAGTGACGACAGAATCGTGTGTGCCTATAAAAACACAAAGGAGCAGATAGCGGCTGTGTGCAGAGAACGTCTGTTAGGAAGATTTGAGTAAATTTATTTACTCCGTCCAGTTCTGTTTCACTCACTCTTAGACCAGCACAAAGTGTTTTATGAAACACGAGCTGTTTCAGTATTAGGAAGAAAACGTAGCCGTTGTAAGCAGTATTATTCTTTTGAGGTAACGTTACAGCTGTTTGGGGACTTGAGTAGTGTCTTTTCATACATTATTTAATAATGAAATTGTCTCTCCACTAGACTGTCAGTTCCACGATGGAAGGACCCCGTTTGTTTTTCCTTGCCATTGTATTCCCAGTACATAGTCCCGTTCCTGGCACATAGCAGGTGCTTATTACTAAATGGTTGTTGAATGAATGAACTTGTTTAATTTACTGAAGCAGTTTTGAAGTTCATTTTCCCGCTGTAATATTAGTGGAGTAGAAGACCACCCATAAGAAAACCAGTGTTTCAGAATGAAACACAGCGTGACCCTGGGCCCTCCCCTGCCGCTCACAGATACCAGTTTGTGTAACCCTACGGATACCTATAGCTGTAAGGAGTCTTCTTTCAGGCATTGCAAGATTCTGGCATACTGAGCGTAGTAACGTTTACTGAAAACACGTGGCAGCAAAAGTTTAAAGAGGTCGCTACTCTGCTCTGTGTGTCATTCTTAAAGGTTCAGATATTTAACGGTATTTCAGTGGATCTGAAGTGTGTGTCATTCTTAAAGATTCAAAATACTTGTGGTATTCGGTAGATCTGAAGTCATTGTTACGTGGATTACCCGCTTTCTCTTCCACAAAAAGATTTTAGATAAAACCCATTTGCATTTGCTTCGATAAACACAGCAGTTATTTTGAAAGACCGTGCATATATGTGAGAGTGGTTTTTAAGGGGAAATTACAGTGTTACCACTGTGGCATTGATTCAGCGCTGTGCTGCCCACTGTGGCATTGATTCAGCGCTGTGCTGCCCACTGTGGTGACGTAATCACCCCAGCTCGTAACTAGGTTCCCAGCTATTCTTAGAAAACCTTCCTGACTCCCTCCCCGTGCTCTTGGCCCTGCTTTGTTACTGGCATCTCTCTGGCATCTCCTCTGAAGCTTAGGCTGGCCTTGAACTCTAGCTCAGGTTGGCATCAAACTCACTGTGCTTCAGCCTCTCGAGCGCCAGGGTCACAGGTATACAACACTCATAGGCCGCTTTCGATTTCTTAAGTCCTTTGATCAGTTTTCTGCTTCTTAAACTAGTGAGCAAATGAAAAGTTTTTGTTTTGTTTTAAAGAAAACCAGTTTTACCCAAGGAAGTGACCTATAGACACTGAGATATTGAAGTTACTGTGGCTGTTGGGGTGGTCCACGAACCAGGCCATCACTGGGTTGGGAGAAGTTGGCATATAGTGTCAGTAAAAGGGTCACGGGTCTCCGGATGCCTAGATCTTGACGTTTTTCCTTTAGAGTAGTAAGTTAGCGATGGTAGCTGCAAGCTGGAAAGCGTCAAAGGTAGATGAGACGCAGCTCCTAGAAGCAGCAGGGAGGGTGGACAGTGAAGGGAGCCCCAGCTTTAGGAAATAGTGCATCAGGAGAGGACAGGGCAGCGCTTTCAGGGACGGAGGGTTTGCCTGCACTGAGAGGAGAGGTTAAGGATCATTGACTCTCATTAGCTCAGCGTCACTTGAGAGCTTGCCAGGTTGGACTGTCCTGAGTGCTAGTGTGACTCAGTGGCCTCAGGCTGTGCATGCTGGGAGGTTTGCAGAGTGCACGGCAGCCGCACTCTGCTGGGGCAGGAGTGCCCTAGACAGGAGTGGGAAATGGACCACAGTGCTTTGAATCTGCTGTCCTTGATGGCAGATCCCAGCTTGTAAGTACAGCTGAAGGTCATGTGGGTGTGAAGTCCATCTGGGCTCAGACATGTGGCAGCCTGGGGACTCGTGGGGTTTGGGCTCTTAAACAGGAGGCCAGGCATGATGGCGCACGCCTTTAATCCCAGCACTTAGGAGGCACAGGCAAGTGGATATCTGTGAGTTTGAGGCCATTTGATCTACAGAGTGAGTTCCAGGAGAGTCAGGGCTACACAAAGACCTTGTCTGGAAAAACCAAGACAAAACAAACAAAAACCTATGGTCGGAGGTTTCAGGGGCTGGAATCCGGGAGGGAGGAAGTGAAGGTGCCTGCGGTTGCATTGTTACTGTAGTGGTTTGAGAGTGCCATATGCAGAACAGGTGTAAGTGTGCGGAAGCGGTTCAGGAATGATCCAGACAGGCTTCATGTGAATTTAGCCTGCAGTACAGGAGATGCTGGGAAATTCTTAGGTCTGCAAATCAAACTTGTATATTCTCAGTAGAAAATTGAGGGAGACTTTGTGGGCCAAGTAAGGGGAGCTGACTTAAACTAGTAAGTCATGGTGGAAATGGGAAGACCAGGGCACAGGATTGTTAGGAGCCAGGAGTGGTGGCTCACACCTAGAATCACAGCACTTGTGAGGCAGAGGCAGGAGGATTGCTCTTCCAGGCCAGCCTGAGTTACAGAATGAGAGCATGTCTAAAAAAGGGGGGAAACATTAGAAGGGCTTAAGAAGTAACCATATGTGAAGGGTGTGCAGCATGCAGGGATGAGGAACAGGGAGGGAGCCCCTTTGCACAAAAAGTTGCATTTTATTGTTCAGTATATAATAAATATACCAATAGTCTAAGAGGATCTACAGAAAAACTGTAAGGTCCTTAGAAACAGCTGGATCTTAGCAGAGCTTTCTGTGTGCACTTAATCATGTCCAAGTAGAAAGCTCAGGTTGGGTTTGATAGTGCCTAAATGGGATCCATTACACGCTGAGCTTCCTTAGAGTGCCTGGGAAATGTAGCCCTGCTCGTTCACGAGGACCTGTTTCCCCATGACCATAGCAGAGCTGTGATTTAAATAGGCCACCCATTCTTTTCATATACATTTAGGATATTTCTAGACTTCTGCTGTTATAAATGAGTGGCCATGCCTGGGCTTGCTCCATTGTATGGTGTGGATTCATGTGGGGGTTTCTAGAGCTAGACTGCATTCTCTTATAACCACCCACACGGCTCTTCAGAACCCGCTGTGCCATTCCACAACCCCAGCAACCAGTGCTAGAGAACGCCAACTAAGTCATGTTTTTATTTTGCCAAAGTGGTGAGCAGAATCCTGATTTCCGCCGCTTGACTTTTTGTCTCGCAGTGACTTGTTAAGAATTGTTTGGGTTTCTGAATTTTCAGTCTGCATCACCTCTTAACTCCTTTGCCTGTTTTCTTCTACCTTTGCAAAGGAGACTTAGGAGTTGCTTTTGTTTTTGTTCTGGGACACTCAGGATATTGATATGTAGATGTGCACTCCTCCTTTGCTGTCCCTTGTTCATGCTGTCTGTCTGTAGTTAGTGTTCCCTAACATCATCACTGACAGTAACCGGGCTAGCCAGTGCAGTGACCCTTGTTCTCAGCGCTCAGAATCTTCCTAACAGCCTCATGAGGTAGGTGCCTTAGCACCCTGGAGTTAAGTGAGGACTGTGGCTCAGAGGTGAAGGACAGTGCCTTCAGCGGTCACTGGGGTGCCGTCAGATAATCTCACTCCAGCAGCTGCACTTGACACTGATGCCATGGCTTTGGGAATGATCCCTAATGCATGCCCATCTTCGTCTGTAGCTCTTTAAAAACATCACTTAGGTTGTTTCTGTTTTAGACATTTCCTAATTATTTTCCAAATATGTATTGTTGTTTCCCTTTGTGTGTGTGCAAGTGCACTTGTGTATGTGTGTTGAGGTGCTAGGAATTGACTGAGGGTCTCATGATGGACAAGTGCTCTACCATTGAGCTAGATTCCCAGCCTTGTATTTGCTTTAGAAGAAAGTTGTGGCCTTTCTTTTTTTTTTTTTGTTTTGTTTTGTTTTGTTTTGTTTTTCGAGACAGGGTTTCTCTGTGTAGCTTTGTGCCTTTTCCTGGAACTCACTTGGTAGCCCAGGCTGGCCTCGAACTCACAGAGATCCGCCTGGCTCTGCCTCCCGAGTGCTGGGATTAAAGGCGTGCGCTACCACCGCCCGGCTGTGCGCCACCACCGCCCGGCTGTGGCCTTTCTTAGTACACATTGAGGATGCAAAGATAAAGTTCCCCAGTACAGTTCTTTTCAGGTAGTAGGCCTGCTTTGTGTAGTGCCTGGGGGATGTATTTGGTATGATTTTTATTTTTATTTTTTTGGCTCTGTTTTTCCTGACAGGAAGACTTTACTTTCTCTAGTCCTTGTACAATATGCAAAGCAAGGCCTGAGCCTGTTGACCGCACAGAACTCCTGTGCACTCAGAGGAGCCAAGGAGCAGTTGCCAAGTCCAGCCCTTAGTGTTAACACTGCCAGTGTTGCTGTCATAGCTGATCGGGGCTGCAGGGGGCGTTCACGGAGCTCCAGCATCCCTCAGAGTGGAATTTAGCGAGCATGTGGCCCTAGTGGATAATTCTTGATGCCACATCCAAACCTGATTGCATGTAGTCACTTCCCTGCAGGAGTTTTGAAAAGCCTCAACCATGTCCTACAGAGTCAGACTCATTTGTAACTGAAAGTTTTCTTGTGTCCTGTCCAGTCCGCAGCCGCTCAGTCCCAAGTAAACACACACAGGTTTATATTAATTAAAACTGCTCGGCCATTAGCTCAAGCTTACTGCTGACTAGCTCTTACACTTAAACTCAGCCCATTTTTGTTACTCTGTATGTCACCACATTTTCCATGGCTTTACCTATGTGCCATTACATGCTATTTCCTGGACAGCGGGCTGGTGTCTCCTTACTCAGCCTTTCTCTTCCCAGAATTCTGGGAATCAGAATTTGTGGTCTGGTAATTTTCTTTAATAAACTGGGCTCTTAGCACCCGCTCAGCCTTGTTAGTAAGTGGTGCTGAGCTTCTGCTGACCAGTTTGCCTTTGGTGAAGTATTTGTGGAAGAACAGAGATGATGACAACCAGCTGCTGCTTGTCTTCCCCCTCTTGGGGATCTGTTGGTGCTGCTTTGTGAAGGCCTTCATTCATCTTTATTTTCCTCTAATTCAGTCATAAGTTTCAGATGTGGAAGTTGTCTCTTTTCTTGTATACATAATTAATGTGTACTTCTGGTTCTGATAAAATATCAGATACACTCACTTTCCTGTTTTTGTTCTAGAGCTGTTTGACAACTACATGCAACAAGATGCCCATGAGTTCTTAAATTATCTACTCAACACAATTGCTGATATTCTACAAGAAGAAAGGAAACAGGAAAAGCAGAATGGCCGCGTACGGAACAGCGACGTGGACGCTGAGGAGAACAACAGCACACCAGACCCGACGTGGGTCCACGAGATTTTTCAGGGAACATTAACTAATGAAACCAGGTGTCTTACTTGTGAAACTGTAAGTCCATCCGAGCACTTAGTGTGGAGAACAGTGTGCTGTGTTCATTGAGGTTTTCCTGGGAGAACAAGGGTGTGGGAGATGAACTTGGACCTCTCAAACGGGCCATGAGTGTGACGGGCACTTGTCAGTCTGAAGGCCTCTGCCTGTGCTTAGGTCGCTGTGTCTGGTGGTGAGTGCTGTTGTAGTACAAGGCTGCTCACTGCAGTTTGAGTATCGTGATTTTGTTTTAAAGACCTTTAGAATCATGTCATTGAAGCTTTCCATAAGGTAAGATTATAGGGAACGTAAGGGTCATGAACACAGTCATGAGTCTTAACCACAGGAGCCCGTTCTGAGCCAAGCATGGTTAGATAACTTCATCACTGGACCTTCCGGGCTATACTTACATAAGCCTTACACAGTCTAGACACGGTCAGACCTTCCGTGTGAGTCTGAAGAGCATCAGAAGACGGGCTGACACAGGAGTGTGAGGTGTGCCACACCAGCGTTCTTCTCTAGGGATGCCTGCTGAAGAGTAATGAAGGAATGTAAACGGAATCAGAAGCCAGAACATACTGCGGAGTGAGCACAGAGACTGACATCTTGTCCGTCGAACCGTGCCGTGCCATGCTTCGGTGTGACCAGCGGCACAGTAAACTTCCTGATGGCTGTCATCTCCAGTGCCTTATGCACACAGCGATGAGATGGCTATGGTGTCGTTGGGTGACGGGAACTTCTCAATCCCTAATAATCTTACAGGGCCACGGTCTTCTGCGTGGGCTCTTAACTGCCTAGTGTGGCACGTGACTGGGTATGAATCATTTCCCCTTCTCCACAGTTGTGCACAGTGTCTGTTGTTGGAATAGACGGTACTGGGTGCCCTCAAGGAGGGGAGCACCCTTTGGCCAGACACTTGGTAAAGATGAAGCTTCAGATTGGTTGCCAAGAGTCAGATAGTCCTGCACTAGGAAATGAATCAGTTCCCTTGCCTGAGTAACTCTTAGTGGTGGATGTTCTCCAGGTCAGGGAAGAGGTACGTGGCAGCAGTCTGAAGATGCTTTGTGCCTAGGGAGAGGCCGGCTGTGGTGGGAGCCTTTGCCGTTGCCTGAGCAGCAGCTCCCTGCAGGACAGTGTTGGATTGCCGTTATTACAGCAGTGTTTCCACTGGAATAGTAGACATGGTCAGGGATTTTATGTTTATAATAGACGTTGCTCTGTTAGAAGACATCAGTACATATGTATGCGGTACATGTGTGTATGCACGCACACGCTTCAGGCTTCAATGAAACAAGATAGTTACTTGTTGAATTGTAGTAATAGGTGAGATTCATATGGTAGATCTGGGACCTCTGGAGGCCTCTGGGAGGGAGACTTGTGGAGTGCTCTGCTAGGCCTTTGAAGTCAAGTTGGTATCAGATGGGGAGGATAGAGAAGAAACAGTTTAAGGAGAGAGTGATGTCAGCCATCCTGTTCAAAGGGTTTGAATAGTTATTCATGTAACTTGTAAGGGGTGAGTTCTGTTTTCCTACCAATAAGTTCTTCTGTGGCCTGCAGTGTGTATTGCAGAGAATTTCCTTAAACCTAAGCCATCAGTATGCATAGTCACAGCAAGTTGTCATGTTCCTGGCCTTTCTCAAAATAAGCTAGCGGGGTGAAATCTGGGTTCTCTCCGGGGTGTAAATGTATATTTGGGGGAGGGGCACGTGGTGTATCATACACATTTAGGAACCAGTTCTGCCCGAGAGAAGGTGAGTAGAGGGTTGTAGACGATTATTAAGATGGAAGTCTGACTGTTAGAGTAGAGACGAGGATGGCTTCCCCGGGTCCTATTGTGAGGTGGTATGCAGTGGATCCGTGTGCAGTGGATCCGGTGGGGGTGTTGAGGGGAGCTGGTTGGGGCAGGCTGCAGCTTTACCTCTGTTCTCTGAAGGTCATTCTCGGTCACGTTCCTCGCCTTGCCTTTTTCCATTTTTTCCCTCAAATGTGGATGTTCCTCAAGTTTCATGTATGTTGGCTGTCATTCTGCATCAGGAACATTGTGTTCCATGTTCATTATCACATGTCCCAGTGAGTCCCATCTAGACGTATCTCCTGACATGAGGATCTAGTCCAATGCAACTGGGCATGTTCAGAAGTGAAATTCTGCCTCACTAGGTGACAGCCTGTGCTTCTCAGAACCAGAGTGTGATACAGTGTACTTCACACATCACCACTCTGGGAAGCTATGAAATCTCATCTTCCTGGCCTCAGCCAGTGAGATGCTCAGGGGCCTTTGATGTCTTTCCATACAGGAGATGTGACAGGTGGACATTGGTTCGGTACCTTTTAGGTACTCCAGACCAAGTAGTTGTCTTTTGAGCATAAAGAGGAAGAATTGCTTAGTTTGTTGGTAGATACATGTAATCTGGCAGCTGGAAACTGTGGTTCCTGGCAATTGAAATAACTCCTATATTTACAGATAAGCAGCAAAGATGAAGATTTTTTAGACCTTTCTGTTGACGTGGAACAAAACACATCAATTACTCACTGCTTAAGGTTTGTGTAGAATTATTTTTTTTGCAATTTAATATTTACTTTTGGCATAGAATATTAAGTGAATTTTTTCACGTACACCTAATGTTATTTTCCGTTTTTCACAGAGGTTTTAGTAACACAGAAACTCTGTGCAGTGAGTATAAGTACTACTGTGAAGAGTGCCGAAGCAAACAGGAAGCACACAAACGGTAATTAGTGTTTAGTTAGACTGTGTTATTATTGTGAGTGCGGGTGCGTGCGAGCGTGCGTGCGTGCGTGCGTGTGTGTGTGTGTGTGTGTGTGTGTGTGTATTGCAGAGTCTCACTATGTAGTCCTGGCTGCCTTAGAACTCCCTGTGTAGACCAGGCTGATCTCAAACTCAGGTCCGCCTGTCTCTGCCTCCTGAGTGCTGGGATTAAAAGTGTGCACCACCGTACCTGGCTGTGGGGTTTATTCCTTTTTAAACACATGGGTCTGGGGATCCAAACCCCAGTTCTCATGCTTGCATAGTAAGCATTCTCATCTGCTGAGCCGTCTCTCCAGTCCCATTTTCCTAATGTTAGTGTTAGCAATCAAGACTCAGTGAGAAGTGCCAGATGAGCAGTGCCCTGTCCGGAACCGTATGTTACATCTGTGATTCATGTCTCCAGTTTTTTGGCTTAGATGTCTTGGAAAGGAGTCTTGCAGATATGTGTCTTGTTAAGTGTCACACCATTATATTGTGTCTCAGGTGCTTGAGTGTCCCTGTGCTTGGTGACTTTCTAGGACTCGGTACTTGGTATATAGTCATGCTCACAGCTAAGATTGTCATGGAAAAAAAAAATAGAGCAAAGGGCAAAGCCAGACAGGCTTCCAAGAGGCCCTGTTCCAGTGAGGTGACACAGGACACTGAATTTCCCCATCTAATGACATCCTGGGAAGCTCTTTGCGGGCTCCATGCCCAGATTCCTATTATGTACTTGTCATGTAGGCATTTTCTGCTATCTTGCTCCAAATTCCAGGCTCTGAGAAGGGAAGCAGGTGTTGAGAATAAACCACACTGGTCAAGCAGTTGGGACCCAAGGGGATAACGACATGGGTGGGATTTGAGGTGCTCCTCAGACCCAAGTTTCCAAATGCCACTCACTGTACCCCTCCTAGAGCCAGGCTTCCTGGGGGTGGGCTGGCCATGCTGGGCCTCTGCACACGACACTGCTGTTGCCCCTGTCACCAAACTCTTGGTTAAAATGTTTCTTAGACTCCTCCATGTAAGCTACATTTTCCTGCTGTAGTTTTTAAGTACTTGGTATAGAGATATGTAAAGATTGCAGATACTTCATTCTTCATTAAACTGACATTTGAAATACTTCAGTGCACTCCAATGTTCCTATTTGAGTGGGTCCATTACTGTTCTGTTTTCATGTTCCGGTTATCTGCAGCTCAGTCGATGCTGGGGGTCCCTGGTGGCTCCTCTGCCCCATTGCTTCTTACATGCTGAGTTCAGTTGAACTTCGTGCACTTAAGTTGAAACTAGCCATTTCTGTGAAGGGTTGTGGTCCTATCCAGAGGAGGTGACATTCGAAAGCTAGGACTGTGGATGTGGGCTTCGCTGTTCAGATGTCACTATTCCTGAACTGAGCAGAGGATGTGTGGACATGCAGAAGTCTGCGTCTGCACCTGTCTGTCCATACTGAAAAGGGTGAACTGCTGGTGGCTCCCATTGCAGCTGACGCGTGGGCTTCAGTGTCTCCTTTTTAACCTGTGCGGTTCCCTCTCTGGTAGTGAAGGTTGGCTCCTGACATCCTGGTTTTTGGTTGGCAGCCCCGTAAGTAGCCGTCTCTCTCCCAGCCGGACCCTCTCCATCCCTCCTGCTGGTGCCTCGGTCTGCAGCACCTTCCTCCTCCCGCGCTTATGCAGACTGCTCTTTTTTGACCTTATATATTAGTCCAACTGGATTGCTCATAAAAAGAAGAAAAATAAGCCAAGATTGGGGCATGGGCAGTACCAGGGGTCAAAGCCAATGTGTAATGATTGAAGAGAATCAGTGTGAGCTTTGCATTTAAAAGACTTGATTACTGAATGAGGATTGTGAGGCAGCCTTGGGAGAAATAGCATTGAAGAAGAAGACAAATACCATATTAGAATGTTTCCCAGTTCAAAGCCAAACTCTAGTCCCAGACGATTTCACCCCCTTCTAGAACAGGTCATCGTCACACCTGGTGGGTTTTTACTGTGGCAAACACTGAGTCAGTCTTTACTACTGTTGTGGGGGTTCCCTTGGGGACATAACCATTTGATAGCCAGCTGAGGTCCTGAAGACAGACCAGGGGATTCCCCCATCCAGCTTGGTCTAGCACTGAGTGTGCTGGGGTGACTCCATGGGGCATGGCTGATGACTTACGGAAACTGAGTTCCTAAGTCCCTGGTCCCCCGCTCAGCACGCAGGCAGCCCCCAGGAAGAGTCTTCTCTTTGCCCATATAATTACAAATTACAGTTCTCCAGGGGAAGGAACTGATAGGATTAAGGTCTACTGCTTGATGGAGTATCTGACACTTTCAGTGAGACCAGGAACCTGAGACCAGGTCTGGGCTCTAGGGGAAAACCTGCTCTTACCACTCTGCGAAATGGGCATAGAGTAGTTTAGATCATTACTACTAGGCTCAAACAAATATTTACCAGTCAGAGTAGGAATCAAAACAACACATTTTTGCCAATGAGAAATAGGTTTGTTTATTTCTGTAGTGTAAAAATCTGTGCTTGGGGATCCATGGAACTCCTGGAAAGCATTTTCTGTACCCTGCTGCTTCCCTGAACAGTGTGTCAAAATGTCTGGAAAAGTGGTGATAGATGAGACAAAGATCCATAGCCCGATGATTCACTGTTGGAAGCATTGGCTGTGCTGTGTATTGTCTGGCTTTGTTGTGGGAGAGAGTTGAGTCCTGTCTGTCTGTGCAAAAGGCCCGATGAGCCCTGTCTGTGGAGCATGCGTTTTGCCGAGCATGGTCTCAGACGCAGTGGTTTTGTTGGGATCTGGAAAGTGGCAGTTGCTCGCTCACAGTGCAGCAGACGTCAGTGATGGACCGACCCTCTTAGACAGTTGGCCCTGGGATGTGCTCTGGAGTTGGTGGAGCTGCTGCCCAGCTAGTCCTTGCCAGTGGCCACGTTCCACTTGTCCCCCAGGTCACAGTCAGGTCAAGAAGTGGGTCGCTGTGGCATGGAAGAAGAGAAGGCAAAAGGCTGTTGTGCGGGGTCAGAGCGGAGAACACCTCTGGTGGCCGCGGTCAGCTTCTGACGACTGCCGCAGGGCACTCCTCTTCCCATGAAGCTTCTTCAGCCAGCGCTGCACTGTGTGTCCTTAGCAGTTCCTGGACCAGATGAGTTGCTCACATTGTCAGGTGTCTCCGGTGTCATGTGACCTGTTTTGTCCTCACATAAGGAAATCTCTCCTGTTTGCCTTTTGTTTGACATCAGTTCCGTAGTATAAAAAAAAAATAAAGGAAATAAGGTAAATTGTGTAAATCATTAGCACAAAAGCATGAAGTGAGAAATGTGCTTTGAAATGATGTGTAACAGAAGCATGTTTATTAAGAATGTATTCTAGGGCTGGAGAGATGGCTCAGAGGTTAAGAGCACTGACTGCTCTTCCAGAGGTCCTGAGTTCAATTCCCAGCAACCACATGGTGGCTCACAACCATCTGTAATGAGATCTGGCGCCCTCTTCTGTATACATAATAAATAAATAAATAAAATTAAAAAAATGTATTCTAGTGTCAAAGTCAGATTTCAACAGGGCCAAAAACCTAATTCTTTTAGCTCACAGTGAATGCTTTCTGAAATTCTGTCTTCATCTGTGTTTCTTAGGATGAAAGTTAAAAAACTACCCATGATTCTGGCTCTCCACCTGAAAAGATTTAAGTATATGGACCAGCTTCACCGATACACAAAGCTTTCTTACCGGGTAGTTTTTCCCTTAGAACTTCGTCTGTTTAACACTTCAGGAGATGCAACCAACCCCGACAGGATGTACGACCTTGTCGCTGTCGTGGTTCACTGCGGAAGGTAATCGTGACTAGGGCACGGCCATAGTCAGACAGAGATGTTCGGAGTGTTCATTGGGCAGGACTGGGAAAGACACCTGAGATTTTTTTTTTTTTTTAATGTCTGTGAGTGTTTCTCCTGCATGTATGCCTGGTGCCTTCGGAGGCCTGAAGTTACAGATGGTTGTGAGCCACCATGTGGGTGCTGGGAACTGAACCCCAGGCCCCTGGAAGAGCAGCCAGTGCTCTTAACCACTGAGGCATCTCTCCAGCCCCCCTCTGACTTTTTAGACAGTCTTTTTGCTATGCAACCCAGGGTAGCCTGAAATCTCAGTCCTCCTGCCTCAGCCTCCTGAGTGCTGGAATTACAGTCTGTGTGCTCCCACACCTGGCTGGACACTAACAGTCTTGTCTTTTTCAAGATGAGTTTATTCTAAAACTGGTTTTTGAGATAGGTGTTTATCCCTCTTCTTTAACCCCTTTACGTATTTTAATGTATGCCTTCATTTTTATTCCCTTTTATCTAGTCTAAGGACCCGATGTCACAGTCTATTGGTTTCCTTTGCCTGTTTGGTTTTGTGTGGAAATGATGCCTGAATAGATTTTGCAAGATGAACTGTCCCTGAGTGTAGTTAGGTGTGTTTCCTGTCAGTGGCTGTGAGAAGCGTTTAAAGTGGCTTTGGGAATTACCTTCAGAAGTTTTGATTTTACCTTCATGTCCATTTATCATTTCCAACCAGCCAGATTCACGTTCAGTCCCACACCAGCCCTCCTTTCCAACAATGTGTGGATGCATAGGCTTGGATCCCTTCTTTGCAGGGGGTGTTGTACTTTGGGGACTGAACCCAGAGTCTTACACATGCCAAGTAAATGCTGTACCACTGAACTACATGCCCAGATCTTTAAGAGTGCACACCACTCCTCCAGAGATGTGAGTTAATCCCCAGCACCCATCTCAGGAGGCTCGCAACTGCCTCTCACCAGCTCCAGGGGATCTGAGGTACTCTTCTGGCCTGTTCATGTGCACCAACGTGTACACACACACACACACACACACACACACACACACACACACACACACACACACACACACACACACACACTTTTTTTAAAAAAAAAAAACTTTGAAATTTTAGGACAAGAAGTAATATGACAATTTAAAAAGTTAACTTTCTTCTGTTTTCTTTTGTAGTGGTCCCAATCGAGGCCATTATATTGCAATAGTTAAGAGTCACGATTTTTGGTTGTTGTTTGATGACGACATTGTAGAGGTAAGTAGCGTCTTCACTTCTTTGGTGTTGTGCATTTTCTTCTTTCCTTTTCCCTTCACAGCTTTTGACTCTCGTGTGGCTGATGGTCGGTGTCAGACAGTGTGCAGGGCTGCAGAGTCGCTCTGAGCTCTGCTTCTTCCTATTGTCCAAGCGGAGTGACCAGCCAGCTTTACCAACCCAGAATAAAGAAGGAAGGCTCTAAGTCCTATTATGTTGTTTTGTAAAAATGTTTCTTTCTTTTTCTTAAAAAGTATTGAGCTATATAACACAAGGCGGACGTCCTAAACCAGTTGTATTAGTTAGGTTTTATTGCTGCGATAAAACACCATGACCAAGGCACCTTATAAAAGGAAGAGTTTAATTGAGCTTACGGTTTCAGTTGGTTAGAGCCCATGAGGGAGGCAGAGAGAGCACACTGGGAATGGGGAGAGTCTTTTAAAATTGCAAAGCCCATCCCCAGTGACACACCTCCTCCCACAAGGACACACCTTCTAATCCTTCCTAAACCATTCCACCAGCTAGAGACCAAGCATTCAAACATACGAGTTCATGGGGGCCATTCTCACTCAGACCACTACACCCGTTATGAGCTTTTCTTTGCAAAGGTGTGCATGCTCAAATGTATGCTTGTACCCACCAGCCAGGTGAAATGTGGTGAGTTTTCACACCCCAGTAGGCTCCCCTGCTCCCCTTTGGCCAGCACAGCGCTCCATATCTTTGCCCTTCGTCCCTTGGTACTTGCTGTGTGCATTTTTGCTGTGGGGATTAATCTTTGCTCTGCTTCACAGTGATTCTAATGCCTGGCTCTTGTCCTTACTTTGCTGAGAGATCCATCCCCACAGTGCCCACTGCCCCACGCTTTGTGATTGTCTGCTGTATGAAGGTAGCAGTTGAGACATGGCCTTCCGTCAGCATTGACTGTCAGGAACAGAAATGCTCATATCCTCCTGTACTGGTCCTTTGTTGACAGGCGTTCTCATCTTTCTTGGCTCTACGTTAGGCTAGACTGCTGGAGCTTCCCATTTTTACATTTCCCAAATAGTTGACAGTTAATGTGCTCATGTAGTTCGATGGACACTTGGAATGAGAGGTGCTGGCTCAAGGGTAGCTGTTGTGTTCAGCTTTGACCATTGCTGAAGGTGTCCCCAGTGTGACTGTAGCACTCCTCAGCATATGGCTGAGCATTCTTTGTCCCGGCCTTAGCGACATTGGATACTGTTTGTTGTAGTTTAAAGTGTGGCTGTCAGAGCTGAATGTGCTAACATTTCTGTTCTGCCTCACAGAAAATAGATGCACAAGCTATTGAAGAGTTCTACGGGTTGACGTCTGATATCTCCAAGAACTCGGAGTCTGGGTACATCCTTTTCTATCAGTCTCGGGACTGAGGGGAGCCACGGTGGAGCAAGCGTCTGTATGCTTCTCTGGTTGTTTCAGGAAGGATCAAGCTGATGGTCAAGAAGAGAGAGAGATGCAGGACGCTCAGGGCAGTAGCACACTTTGCATACAATAAAGCAAAGACTGTGGATTAACACGCCCTTCCGATCACAGTAGTTGAATTTTTTTTGCTCAGGAATCATGCTGTCTGTGCAGTTCCACACAAGGAAGTGAAATCAGAGATACCAGCTCCTCTTGTAAAGCAACTGCCCGCTGCCGACACACATTTTCTCTGTTAACCACACCAATGATGATTTGAGTTCCTCGGGAGGGCAGTGGAAGAATTAGAATATGTTAGGTTGATGGAGCACGCCGCAGTCTGCGCGCACGGGATGCTCACATTGGATGGGAGCAGTCGAGTGGTCTTTTCAGACAAACCGGAAAGCACCTTTGGGCCCAACACTCGCAGTTGCCTTCCTGACGCACAGAACTAGCAGACTCGGAGCCCAGTGTCAGGAAGTCAAAGATCCTCTGCTTCTCTGGAGAAGCGTGTGATAATGTACAGTGTGTGTACACAGAGGGAACAGTTGGTCAGAAGTGGCTTCTTGGTTCCCCAAGGGGAAAGACTGGCTTTGTAATGATCATTTTCCTTATTTATTTTATTAAACTGGTGGAGTCCGAGCATTACATGAAGTGCCGGTGATTCTGTCAGCAAATCTTAGCATATTTTATTAGTTTGTCGGCAGAAGTAGTCTGTTGTTTGTTTCTGTTTTTAAGGTGAACTGAAAATTCTAGCTGAAATCACTAAGATAATCATGAGATGATTGCAGTGAGTGGGCAGATGCTGTCAGGAGGAGCTGTCCCTGGCTGAATATTTGCTCTTTGTCATAGTTTGTCACTTGCTTTTTTAAGCTTTAATTTCAGTAAAGTAGAAATTCCCTGTTGGTAGAATGATAAAGGAAATCTGTGTGATGCTGGCCTGCTGTCGGCCAGAACCCCCAAACTCCTCACTGCTGTGTTGTTTTGAGTCTCTCGCCTTGGGATGGACTGCTCGATTCATCAGAATCCCAGCAGCAGGGAGCAGCTAGAGCCCTCTGGAAGATGACACTTTGGGGAGGTAGACCAGTAATCTAGAAAAGAAGCCCCTCCCCTTTCTGGCCTGCGCATCCCATTAGAACGGTGTTCAGAAGCTTGTGACAGGAGTCTTCTGTATGTCTGAGCATCAAGTAGCTTGGCAGTGGCTGAATGTAACTTGTAGAAAGCAACTGTAGATTATAGTCCAAGTCACAGCAGCCAGGCTCTGGGTAATCCATCTCACTGCATTCTTCATGTGGTGGTGGTGGCGGCCTACTGATAAGCCCCTAATTTTCTAAAGTTATTTTACTAAAACTGTTGACTGAGAAGCAAACAGCAAAAAGAAATGTTTTTGTGCTGCTATTATTAACATTTACTTTCTGTACTTTTTAGCTCAGGAAATGACTTCATCTATTCGTCCCATAAGCAGATTTGTAACAGGGTCACTTAGCTAATCGGGCTTCGTAGACAGATGTGCTGGGAGAAGAAGATGACCTTTTGACAGACTCATTTTATAGTTTCTGAAGCCTTACCCTGGCTGGGGTTTGTGATCTGCAAACATTGCCCAGAGAACACAAGTGGGAGCGTGGGGGAGTCAGGGCCATTGAGAGCACGTGCTAGTGAGGGCTTAAACCAAATTGTGTTGGAATTCAGAACTGCGTCTTTTGCAGCTTTGTGTTCAAAGAGAAGGCATAAAGTATGGCTGAGTCCTCGAGGCTGCCTCGTGCAGCACTGAAGGACAGTCTTGTTTGCTTGTACACAGTTTTTTTAATTTAAGACATATGCAGGAAAAGGCCTAGTTAAGTTCTGGATGGTGGCAAGTTGTAGCAAGGTTGCTGAGCTCCCGGCAGTCAGCCATGCCCTGCTCAGGTCTGCGCTGGGCAGTCTGCAGGGGAAGGACCACTTACTGGCTGTTGGCTCTAACTCTACTTTTTATTCTTAGTGCAGAAGGATCTAAGTAAAACATTTTGAATTTTATCAGAAACGCAGTAAACTTTAAAAACATACAGGGTTTGGGTTGGGGACTGGGAATATCAGGTATAGGAAGTGGAAAAGGTGAACCCACTCAGCACACGTTTCAAGGTGATCGTTCTTTGCCTGTGATGATGATGAGGGCAGATGCAGGTGTGAACAAGGCTAGTTGCTGTGTAATTATGTATATGTTTGCTGGGGCAGCTGTCCCAAATTTTGTATATTAGAACAAAAGTTTCTATGAATTACTGTAACTAAAAGTAAATATTCTAAGTTAAGCCCCACTTCTGAGTCATGTGGCTTCTGTCATAGGAATTTTACCTTTAGAAGGTCACTTAAGACAGGAGCCACATGGCTTAGGAAGGGGGCAAGGAAATGTGCTATAGTGGCCTTATGGCCTCAGCCATCAGTGGAGGGTTTTTCTTTGCTTGATGGCCATAGGAAGACCTCACTTTCAAATCCTCCTGATACTTTGTGTAAAGATTCTTTTCCTTAAAGATTCTCTTCGTGAGGGATGTGGCTGGGAGCTGGGAGGCAAGGTGCTGGAGTCCTAACTCTCCAGTGAACTCAACTGTGTGACCTTGGGCAAGTCACTTACCCTCTCTGTGCTTCAGTTCCCTCCTGTAAATGGGAGTAATACCTACCTCACAGGGTTGTTGTGGGGATGAATTCGAGATCCTGTCTGTAACGCATTTAAGGTTCTTGAAGAAGGCGCTATATAAATACAAAGTCATATCTATTAAAGTTGGCTTATTTGTGCTTGTTGGTTTTTAAGTATATATTTTTTCTTTTTGCCTAAAATGTATTTGGAATTAGAAGCATACACTTTAGGACTTGTGTTAGTCCTTTTGTGTAAGCTACAGCTTTTGTTACCCAGAGTCCCTGGAAAGCCACATGCTTATAAAACAGTGGTTTGTGGGCTCCTGTTCCTGAACACCGGCTGCTGTCTGTTCTCCAGCACTGTGACAGACTTCCCGAGTTGAGCATCTTCTAAGGAAGAAAGGTTTATTTAGGTTAATGGTTCCAGGAGTCTCAGTTCATGGCCAGTTGGCTCCATGAGTTGGAGCCTGTGGGAGATGGACTGCCTGACTCACAGAGCCAGGGAGCAATGAAGAAAGGTCTGGGGTCACACCATCTTGAAAGTTACACCCAGCTCTAACCCTACCGGTTGGCCCTGCCTCTGAAAGGCCCTACCAAGCCTTCATCGTGGACCTTCGGGGAACTCCAGGTCCAGACCTGCCTTTATGCAATGATGTGCCTTTTGAGACAAGTCCCTAGTTTATATTTTCACATTTAGAATCAGGCTGTAAGAGGCAAGTTCCAGAGGTCAGTGTCTGTCTGTCCCTCCTCCTGGCAGTGAAGCCCTTGCCCCTCTAACATCCGCTCGCCCGAGTGACCTGACATGTTCCTTTTATTATAGTGTCTGACCGTGATGGCAGTGGTGCTGGCCCCGTAGGATGAGATAGGAAGTTGTCCCCCTTAGACTCTCTGGAGGGGTGTAAGTATCCAAAGGGTTTGTTTGTGTGTTTGTCTTTAACCAGTAACTAGTACCTACACTTGTAAGTCGTCCTTTAGGAATTGGAAGGCATATGTGGTCTTTGCCGTTAAAGAGCTCACTGAGTAGCCGGACATTGGTGGTGCACTAGGAGGCAGAGGCAGGAGGATCTCTCTGAGTTCAAGGCCAGCCTGGTCTACAGAGAGAGTTCCAGGATAGCCAGGGCTGTTACACAGAGAAACCCTGTCTCAAAAAAAAAGAAAGTAACTGTCTTAATATCAAGAAAAGTAGCCATCTTTCTCTGATCAGATGAGCTATTCCTAAATCTGGGTAATTGTAGAATGTTCTGGTTCCTGAGATAAATTCCCAAAGGTTTTCCTTCACTGAGCAGAGGTGAAGAATCCAACCCCCAGAGAGAGGTCCTGGAGGATCTCAGCAAATTTGGGGCTTCCTGACGTATTTGGGCTCTGCATCATGTTTCTGTGAGCCCACTGCCAGTCTAGCATTGACCTGATGTGAGCGTTATCAACCAGATCCTCACAGCATGGACAAGAGGAAGCTTAGAGAGTGTAACATGCACAGCACTTGGAAGTTGCCATGTGGGTTGTTGTGCCAGAGTTGACCTGGGACTACACTGGGAAGTCAGAGAGCGTGGAACTGAATACCCGGGACTCCCTGTTCAGCAGTGGGAACGAGTGTCAAGCCAACACCATTGGAAGCTTTTTTTTTTTTTGGTTTTTTGAGATAGGATTTTCCGGTGTAGTCCTGGCTGTCCTGGAACTCACTCTGTAGACCAGACTGGCCTTGAACTCATAGAGATCTGCCTGCTTCTGCCTCCTGCCATTAGAAGCTTTCTAAGTGGGATTCTTAGAACTGGCTACAATATTATGTTAGAAGATTTTCACGTTCCTTCCCAGGTGTGGCAGCCCATTGGAAGCACATTGAAGGTTGCAGGTAAATGGGCCCATGGTTTTTGTTCTGGTGTCCATATCTACTTATTCACTATTCTGTTCTTTGCTCTTCACACTCGATGAGGGTAGATCGCCACCGTTTACCATTGGAAAGTTGCCTCTGGTTCTCTTCCTAAGAAAGGAGGGTGAGCTGAATACACCAGAACCAAGATTTCAGAGAGAGGGTTGAGCTGATAGTCTTCTCTTTTAGCAGGCAGGCTGATATCAAAATCAGTGGCATTGAGCATGTCTACTCTGCATATACAGAGCACTTCACTTGGAAGGATGTTTCGATTTTGGGGGTTGAAGAAACTTTATTCTACAGCCTCTATGATGAAAGACTTAGATTTAAAAATACCTGCCTGCAATCCCAGCACTCTGGCAGTGGATGCAGGAGGATTGGGAGTTCAAAGCCACCCTCAGCTACACAGGAAGTTTGAGGCCATTCTGGATCACATGAGATCCTGCTTCCAAAACAAAGTATCAGAAGCATGCCCTACTATGTGATCGTGGTATTTGTAACACTCCCCTGTAAAACCCTGAAAGCGCACACTGGGTCACTTGTAAACAGTACTGAAGAAAAATAAAACAATTTACTATGTTTCTAAAAAATGATGCTATTCTTGTTGTGTTAGTCCCTTTTCTATTACTGTGAAAACGCCCTGACCAAGGCAACTTAGAAAATATTAAATTGGACTTACGGTTTGTAGAGGGTTAGAATCCGTGAAGATGGAGTGAAGGTGTGGCAGCAGAGACAGTGCAGCTGCACTCCAAAGCCTGCCCACCAGTGACACACCCTCTAACCCTTCCCAAACAGTTCCACCAACTGTGGACCAAGTATTCAAACGTGGGAGTCTCAAACCACCACACCCACCAAAAAGAAAGGCCTGTTTTAAGTCCAGTATGAACATTGTGATGTCATTTTGTCCGCATTATACATTCTGTTCTCCATGCTAAACTATTAGTTAGAGCTAATTGTAAATTACGTTAGTTTAACTTGATGTTATGTGGGGTAAGATGGTTTATGATCTATGCCAAAGTGGGCGGGTGGAAGCTGCTCCTGAGCGACAGTCTGGAGCATGGCGTGGTGTGGCTGTGATGTGATGAGACTCGGAAGAATGTGACTGGGCTGTAGGACAAGGGAGAGGAGCGCCAGTGAAGATTCCTTTTCTCCAGCTTCCCAGCCAGGTGATAAAAAAGACAGAACGCAGGGAGAGGACCATGTCTGTGGTGGGATGGCTAGAGATTGGTAACAGTATTTGCTTCTAGTAGATTGACCTTGCCTGGCATTTCCAGAGACCTGGAGTGCCAATAACAGGATGGCATGTCATTAACTAGACTCACTGAGCTTGGCCTGCACCAGCTAGCCTCTGCCACATATGTCACAAGTGCAGAGCTGTCCCGTTGGAACTTGAGGTTAGGTAGATTTGAAACAGGCTGGCATGCTCCATAAAGAGAATGGGTTTTGGTGTCCTTCCTTGCCGAGTGCCGCATAGACTACTGATTCTAGTTTGTGTTGAGTTGACAAAACCTAACTGGCACACCATGGCTTTCCAATATTCTTGATAAGCCATACAGCTTTAAAAAAAAAAACCAAAAAACCTGCAGTTAAACCTGTTTGAAAACTGGCCTATCACCTATGGACTCTTTACAGCTCAGCCTGCTTGTGTGGACATTGTAGGGTTTGAGTAAATGTATAAAAAGCTCTGCCACCGTGTTGAACATACATCATCATTCCCCTCTGCCTTTGTTTTCTCACTAAAAATGAGCCTCCTATGGAGACTAAAACCCAGAGTTGACTGACATGCTCATTGTTAGTGTCAACCCAGAACACCCTAAAAACAGCAGACTGTCTCAGATTTGGAAAGCCAGTGTCAGCATGGGTCAGCCGTCTGTGCTGCTCTGAGGTCCCTCCATTGACCTGTTCTGTGGATGAGCACATCCCTGCACTGAAGATCATCAGCCTTGACTACTGCAGGTTTGTTTTGCTTTGCAGGAGGGTATTGTTAGTCAGGGTTCTGCAGGGGACAGAACTTACAGAATGAGTGTGTGTGTGTGTGTGTGTGTGTGTGTGTGTGTGTGTGTGTGTGTGTGTCTAGTCATTGAACCTGGGTCCTCTGCAAGAGCATTGCTGAGCCCTACTAATTTTTTTAGTCAAGTGTTTTTGGGGGGTGGGAGTGCCTACATTGCATATATCTGTCTATCTGTCTATCTATCTATCTATCTATCTATCTATCTATCATCTATCTATAAGATTTATTAGAATAACATATAGACTGTAGCCCAGCTAAACTAACAATGGCTATCTACCAACAGAAGGCCCAAGAATCAAGTAGTTCAGTCTACAAGGCTGGATGTCTCAGCTGGTCTTCAATATAGGCTGGAATCCCAAAGAAGTAGGCACTACTGCCAATGAAGGTGTGGGTGTGCTAGTGAGAGCAAGCTTCCTTCTTCCATGTCCTTTAGATGGGCTGCCAGCAGAAGGTGTGGTCCTGATTAAAGGTGGATCTTCCCACCTCAGAAGATCTGGATTAGTCTTCCCACTTCAAATGATTTAATTAAGGAAAAAAAAATCCCCCGCAGGTGTGCCAGCCATTTGGGCTTTAGTTACTTCTAGACGTCATCAAGTTGACACCCAGGGATCACCGTCACAGGTGCTTAATTAACCTCCTAAGCTGTGTGTGACTGTCAGAAGACTGGGTGGGGCCATGATGGGCTAGCTCAGCCAAGCTCTGGTCTCCCAGCAGGAGTTACAGAATCTAAACAGAGTTTGGCCATTAGTGACAAGGCTGTCAGTCTGGAAAGAAGATGGAGGAGGTCTCTCCAGAAGTCCTTTTAGGATGGTGCTGTGGATTCTTTTTACCTAGGAAGTCGCTTTTGCAATTAAAGGGACTCTGTCCACTTTGATATTTTTATGCACGTAATTTCCATGTCTTGAACGCCAGTCTTGTCAGATTTGGGCAGCACATTGAGCCTTCAAAATCAGGGTCAGAAAGAGTTTAATAGGGGGAGTCACTATTTTCCTGAGGATTAAAATAAGCAGAGAATGGAATTATTACATAATCAATTACATTGGCTACTTGATTAAAAACACAAATGCGATTTAACCCGGAATTATCCTCTGGTTTGCTGTTCTCCAAAATGAGATTACGATAATAAGGGAGCAAAGCCTCCTGAACACAGGCAGCTACCCTGACACCATGGTTCTCTGGGGGAATGGACTAATGACAAGAATTTTCTGTTCATGAAATATTTGGGGAAAGTACTAATAATTCCAATGCAGAATCATAGCTCCTACATTCACTGAAGGTCGT